CCATCAGTCACTTTTATCTGCAGGAGAAGACCCTAACGACCAACAGCTGCTCATTATCATCTCCTGTGAGTCCTCAATTGTTCCTTACGTGGGTCAGCCCTTCTCCTGCGTGTATCCCAAAACAACTCACAGGAGGTTTCTGTGTCAGCCTCTCTTGTCTCCTCCCCACTGATCCAAGGATCAGTCATTACCTGGGGACCAACTAGTCTCTCTGAGCCCTGCTCTGAGTCAGAACCCTATCCAGGGCCCTCCGCCTCCTCCATGCCTGACTCATAGGGCCCCTCGCTGTCAAGAGTCTGATAGCAGCTCCAAAGGCTCCTGCTGAGCCACAACAGATATCGATTAAACAAATGCATTGCACAAAGCAGGTTTAAGGCTTAGTTAAAGTTAAGTATCAGTGTTGTGTTTGTATGTCCTGCTCATGGGGGGACCTTTCAGGTAGATTTGGGACTTGGGAAATCCTATTTTTAATTCATAGCTTATATTGTATCTTGCCATAGAGATTTCTTCTAGCAGGCAATCCATTTAGGTCCAAATAAAAGTCCCATAAATTGTGTTTCTTCTTTGCACAGTATTCTTTTGGGGTGGCTTTGAGTTTAACCAACAATGCCATTCTCCATTGCCATGCTCTTTCCAGCATTCCACTTGTTATATGCATATGTGCAGTATTTTACACGCATATTTTCTTTTACATAGTATAATATATAAACATTCCAGGATTTCAAAATATTACAGCTGCATCAGTTTATGACTAACTCTGTTTCTGTCTCTGTCTTTCGACACTTTGGAAAGCGAGCTATGCTGCCTTTGCAGTCCTTGTTCACATCTTTCAATTATTTGTTAAGGGTGCAAGGCAGCTTCATATGGTAAGATGTGCTTGCACACACAATTCCCCATCCAGATTCAGATTCAAATAGAATGATAATAACTGATCTTTTAAAGCTATCTTTGGTAGCTATGAAGATCAGAAGCATGCTTTTTTAAAGTGAAAGTTCAGAATTTTGGGAATCTAAATGTAAATGTGGGACAGTTGCCAAGCCCCCAATCACAATAACATGATTTCAGGCATGCTGTGACAACTGTAAGTGTGGTCATAACAGAGGTGGGTTCCGACTAGTTTGCACCTATTCGGTAGAATCGGTTCGTCAAATCTACCGAACCGGTTAGAAGAGGTTCCACCAGTGGACCCGGAAAGCAGGCCACACCTACAGAAGAGGATCCAAATTTTTTTGAAACCCCCCCCTATCCCCCCCCCCCACAGAGACAGACAGACTGACACAGAGAGAGAGAGAAAGAGAAAGAAAGGAAGAAATAAATAAATAAATAAATAAAT